AAATTCTTCTTCTGTGCAAAGGTGCTGACAGGTTGGTCTTATGACAGCACTCCATATGTCTTATCAACATTTTTAGTTTAATTATCTCGTGAGAAAGCGAGTTAGCGTGATTCTCTTTCGGTGCCCTCCGGGACATGAATGTATATGTATGATATACCGTACTCCGTCATGTTGACCATTTATATTAGACAATCGTCATTCTGACATTACAGTTTCAATTTTAATCAGTTTCTCTAGGGTTTCTTTGCACGTGATGAGCTTTGCTCATCGCTTTCTTTCTTTTCTCAATTATCATGGGGGCAATCAGTTAACCTTGCTGTCATATGGTTTTTGCTATCAATGAGAACTTTGAAAACTGATGATTGAAGTTAAAAAAAATTTCGTGTATTTCTAGCTTCTATTTTTTGTGCTACTGTGGATTAGGGTATTCAAAGAGATTTGTTTCAAAAGAAAGAGCTGTAATTTTGCATTCTCTTCTAAGAGCAGTTACTTGGAGGGTAGCATCACCGTGGTGTCTCTTCTCACTTCTCTTTTCTTTGAAGAACATCCTCTGTAAACGCAAACACGGAGTCCGGCCATCCCATGATCATGCTCCTAATACTTTCTCTATTGAGGGTATAGATGGAATTATGTGGCATCTCTTTTGACCCGAAAGTTAACTTTCATGAATTGTGCAGTATCATTTTCGATCGGTTGGCAAAGAACGGAAGAGTATATGAGGAAGCTACTAGCAAACATCTGAATGAATATGGTGAAAATGGGTTACGTACGCTTGCTCTTGCTTATAAAAAGCTTGAAGAGTCCGAGTATTCTGCTTGGAATGATGAGTTTGTCAAAGCAAAGACTTGTATTGGGGCAGACAGGGATGCCATGCTTGAAAGGGTGGCTGAATTGATGGAAAAGGATTTGATTCTCGTGGGTGCCACTGCTGTGGAGGACAAATTGCAGAAAGGGGTAAAATAAAAGAATCATTCTCTTCAAGTTTATTTACTCACATACACCATTCGTTTAGTTCATCTGAACTCGAAGGTGATATCTACTGTTTTTCCCTATAGGTGCCCCAGTGCATTGACAAACTTGCCCAAGCTGGTCTTAAGCTATGGGTTCTTACCGGAGATAAGATGGAAACTGCAATCAACATAGGGTATGATGGTTGTAGCTAATAGAAAGCTTTCCCAATACCTCTTCCATTTGAATGAGATCTCTACTATCGAGAAATTAATTTCTCGCTGAAAGTTTGGCAGAATAGGAAAACCAATGGTTTTTCTAATCCATCGTGTCTATTGCAGATTTTCTTGCAGTTTACTTAGGCAGGGGATGAAGCAGATCTGTGTAACAGCAACAAGTCCAGACACATTAGGGCAAGACTCGAAGAAGGTAAGACTCTGGCCAGAGAGTTTGGACATTTTGTTTCGGCATAGCTGTTTCATTCGACATTTAGTGAACATCGCATCTTGTCGCTGATCAGGCCATCAAAGAGAACATTGTGATGCAAATCACCAATGCCTCACAAATGATCAAGCTAGAAAAAGATCCACATGCTGCCTTTGCACTGATAATCGATGGAAAAACCCTGACCTATGCCCTTGAAGATGATGTGAAGCATCAATTCTTAGGATTGGCAATTGACTGTGCATCTGTCATATGCTGTCGGGTCTCTCCTAAGCAGAAGGCGCTGGTAACTTTTCTCCCCTCTCAGAATTGTCGTATTCCTGCCTATGTTCAGAGGCTTCTTCATATACATACAAGCTTGCAATGCCTGTGGGTAAACCTCAACAGGATTTGATATTTATATTAGAGAGTCTGAACCTGACTCCAGGTGACGAGGTTAGTGAAGGAAGGAACCGGCAAGACTACATTAGCAATTGGCGATGGGGCGAATGATGTCGGCATGATTCAAGAAGCTGATATTGGAGTGGGGATCAGTGGGGTGGAAGGTATGCAGGTTAGTGCCTCCTTTTCTATCTCCTTGTGAAGGCTATTATCCTGACTTCCCTGACCATTGGTGTGTTTTGGACATATATCCTATGATGGTTAACAATAAGGAGCATCTCCTGCCTTCGACTCTGGATCTTCATAATAATTTGAGATCATTACTGTTTTGCAGGCTGTGATGGCTAGTGATTTTTCGATTGCCCAGTTTCGGTTTTTGGAGAAACTCCTAGTAGTTCACGGACACTGGTGCTACAAAAGAATAGCCCAGATGGTAATTTTGCGGCTTCCTCATTGACTTTATATTTATACTACTGTCTCGTGTGCTTGTGTCAGACATCTGTATCTCTCATGCCCACTGACTTTTTCTTCCCTTCCTTAATCCAGATATGTTACTTCATCTACAAGAACATAGCATTCGGTTTGACATTCCTCTACTTCGAAGCTGTGACGGCCTTCTCCGGGCAATCGATCTATGACGACTGGTACATGATTTTGTTCAATGTGTTTGTCACTTCATTGCCCGTCCTTTCGTTAGGAGTATTCGAACAAGATGTTTCCGCCGAGGTTTGCTTGCAGGTAACCATTTCTTGAACACTGTAATTTTGAAAATGAACAGAGACGGGCAATAGCTGATACACACTCAACCTAGAGACTTTTCCATGATTGCTAATTCATGTCCCTTCTCCTTTTCCCCCTCTTTTTGTAGTTTCCTGCGTTATATCAGCAAGGACCCAAAAACTTGTTCTTCAACTGGTATAAGATATTCGGGTGGATGGCGAATGGTCTCGTTGCCTCCATCGTCGTTTTCACCTTCAACGTTCTCTTCTTCTTCGAGCAAGCTTTTCGCCCGGGAGGCCAAACGGCCGACATGACAGCCGTGGGAACCGTAATGTTCACTTGCATCGTGTGGGTGGTGAACTGCCAGATTGCGCTCACCATGAGCCACTTCACATGGATCCAACATTTGTTCATCTGGGGAAGCATCGCGTTTTGGTACCTGTTCCTCTTCATCTACGGAATGTTCTCTCCCATTTACACGGGGAATGTGTACAAGATTCTCGTTGAGGTCCTCGCTCCTGCTGTGAGTTTCTGGGCAGTCACCCTCTTGGCAACGGTCACTTGTAACCTAGTTTACTTCTGTCACATATCTATCCAGAGATGTTTCAATCCCATGGATCACCACATTATCCAAGAAATCAAGTACTACAAGAAGGATGTCCGAGACCAGCTCATGTGGAAGAGGGAACGGTCCAAGGCCAGACAAGAAACCAAGATCGGTTTCACCGCGAGGGTGGAAGCGAAGATTAGGCAGTTGAAAGGGAGGCTGCAGAAAAAGCACCTCCTTGCCGCCGCGTCGTGACAGGACTTAAAAGAGGGTTTCGGTTCTTATTTGACATGGATACATTTTTTTTTTTCTTCAGTAGGGTTTGGGGCCATTGCAGATTTCTTTGTTGAGGCCCCTTTTCTTGCTCAATTTTTTGTCCCAGGAAAAAAAGAATGTAATCAGATGAAGGAGAGGGGATGATTGGATCCCCTCTCGTGCACAGATAATCTGAAGTAGTCATATAACCGCCTCCCCTGTATTGTAATCCCTGTGTAAAATTTTGATGAGTGATAGCTCTGAGATATAGTGGAAATTGCTTCTGTTCTGTACCAATCTCTTCACTCCTCTCCTCTTTTAAATACCTATGCAACATGTCCAACTTGTCACAATGACGTATGCAAGTCCTTCAAATCTAAGCCTATGTTGATCTATTGCCACCAATTTCCGTCAAAGTAGGTGCATTTTGCTTGTTTTGATCACTTCCGTGAACTGGATATACAAGCAAACTGGCTAATTTTTCTACTGCTAGAAATTGTCAAGCATGATTAAAATCGGGTTAAAGTCGGCGTAACGAGAATTCATCTCTCGACTCTGCCGAACTATATTCGCTTTTCGAACTAGTTTCGAATGACCCTTGTCCCGAGCCGTGGTTTGCCAAGTCTATATTTAATCGATGCGAATACAGCACAAATACAAGATTAAGTACGAAAACCAAGAATGCAACAGCTGTAAACAGAAGGTAAACCAACCACAAAAGCGATTATACAAAGCTGCTTAGGAACCATTGGAATTGTCATAAATATAGTATCTAATTCTAGGAGGGAATTTCAATGGACATGCAAGGTAATTGTATCAAGTGAAAATAAAATAAAATAAATTGTTGACGGGAGTCTAAAAATATAAAAATCTCAGATAGATGCATGAATTTCACAATTTCAGAGTCAAAATGCTTTATATATGCGATTTTTTACTTTTTTTAGATTTAAATTGAATATTCAAGAGTAAAATCGAATATGCAAGCAACATATAAGAAGCCACCCAACTTCTAAAATAGAAGTAATCATTTTCGAAACAACGGTGGTTGCATACAAGAATCGAAAGACTAATGAGCAATTTGGTTATAAAATTTGTCAAATTGATCCAATCAAATCCTTCCATTGTTTTTAATATCCAAAAAAAATAAAAAACCTTCCATTAATTGCATTTCTAGATTAAACTTTCGTGACAAGTTTTTAGACTCGATTGCACTTTTTGATAGTTTTAGGATTCGATTGCACTTTCACGACGAGTTGCAGAACCGAATTGCAAAAAGTTGCAAAGTTGTAGGAATCAGTTGCACGAGGACTTCCAATACACTTATACCTAAAAAAAAAAAAAAACATATCTCGAATGTTCTTTCGAAAATAATAAATTACAAAAGGAAAAAAATAATAATAGCAAATAGCAATTTTCGATGAGCAAGTAAACAAGAGTCAAGACAAACCAAAACAAACGACCGTGATTAAGGAAACGTAATCACGATTAAAATGGTCGATTAGATCAAAGATCGTCACCGTCTCGTTCGGTTCGGTATACCAACACGCTCCCTATCCCTCTCTCTCCCTCTCTCTCTCTCTCTTCTCTCTGGCTCAGTCATCGCGGTTCCATGGCAATGGAGTCTCTCCTGTAGCAGCAGCAGCAGCAGCAGCCTCCTCTGGATAGCGGTTAGGGTTTTGTTCCCCGTCGCCGGCGGTGGTGGGGGTGGGGGTGGGGGTGGGGGTGGGGCTGGGGCTGGGTTTTTGTGGAAATCCCGGCGCTCTCCGATGGAGCCACGCGTCGGCAACAAGTTCCGGCTCGGCCGCAAGATCGGCAGCGGATCGTTCGGAGAGATCTACCTCGGTGGGCTGCTGATGCTCGGTTCCTTTTTCGCTTCGTCCGTTCCGGTTTTTTTTTTGTTTTTTTTTTTTTTGTGGGGGGTTTGATTGTGATTGAAGTTCGCCGCGAATTTTTGGTTTTCAGGTGCGAATATCCAGACGAACGAGGAAGTCGCGATTAAGCTTGTGAGTGGCTCTTCTCCCGGTTGGAATTGAAACCCTTTTTCCTTTTTCGAAGCTTCTCGTGCGTTGTAGTTGTTTCTTTAGTGTTTGTTGTAGCCATCATCGCATCGGTGTTTTGATGATTTAGGATTTTGATGCTTTGATTTTACGTCTTTTTGGGGGATATGGATGGTGTTTGACTGGCATAGATAGTTGGTTCGCTTGCTTCCCCAGCTTCCAGCAAGTCGGCGGTGCTAGCTTCTGTATTTTTAGAATGATTGTCGATAACGAGTGGAAGCTTCCTCCTTTTGTGGCTTTTCGCATGCATGTGTGTGTATGTTTGGAGCTGTAATGCATGAACTCATGTCGTGCTTCTGGTATGATAACGATCGAATGCCCGAGCGATTTGCTTCCATGGCGATCTTTTGCAATGCATGTCTCGACTTTGTCGAGAAGTCAGCGCTCTTTGTCCCTCGTCGAGTATGACTTTTTGCCTGAAAGATTACTTGAAAGGGTAAAATAAAAGATCGATTTTTCACTTGAAACATGTATGTTTTGACTGAGTGAGATTGATGACGGGGTTGAAAGGGGGTTGCGTGGAAGCAACTGAGGAAACTATAGTATTCTCTTTTGATGACATGAAGAAGCTCTGTTGCCAATTAACGAGTGTAGTAGTGTTGCTCGACCTATGTCTACATCGTCCTCGCCAAAATGGTACTCTACCATTTGGTGGAAGACCTATTAAAGGAGACTTAACAAGCTTCTTCGTATTTCTATTTTCCTTTGTCTGTTCTCACTCTGATGATGTAGTCTGCATGCAAAGATTTATGTCGTGCATAAATTACTCTGAATTGGTATGAGAATCGAGTTTTGTTACTATGAGTAAACTCTATCGGTGCTGCGGGTCTGTGGCTCTACCAAATATGTGTAGATGGAGATGCTACTGCCTTATCTACTCGACTTTATAGCAGAGAAGATCCTTCATGTTGGACAGATATCTGTTAGTAGATAGAGAAATTTAAGTTGATGTTCAGTGGCAGACTGTTGAGGTTTGTCTGTTTGTATACACTAATTGATTCGATTTGAAATGTTTATGAACGCAGATATTGACAAACTGGAAAGTGACACGAATTAAAATACATCATTTCTTAAGTTTTGCAATGACACGACTTGACATGAGCTCATAACTCGTCTTTGACATTTGAACATGAATTGCCAGCCTTTTGCGAGGGATGCACAATTTTATTTATCTGTATTTCTGTCAGAAGATAGAAGCATAGTCTTTTAAGGAAGGTGAACCGTGCTTCTTAATTCTTTTGATTATTTGGTTTGCAGTGTAGGCACCGTTTTGAATTGATTGTGCCTTTTCTCTGTACTCAAACACATTATTCAAAGACGCTGTTGAATTCTGAAGCACATTTTTTGCGCTATTAATGATAGTAAATTCTGATTTAGTTTTATATAACACCACTTGTTTAGGAAACTGTCAAGACAAAGCATCCTCAGTTGATGTACGAATCAAAGTTGTATAAAATACTTCAGGGAGCAAGTAAGACCTCAACTTGTGGTGCTTCTTTTTCTGATTCAACTGTGCATGCTTTATGTCTGTTCTGATGTTTTTCATGATGCCATTGGTTTGCACGTGCTTATCCTTGGCAGCTGGTATTCCAAATGTAAGATGGTTCGGTATCGAAGGGGACTACAATGTACTCGTGATGGATTTACTGGGACCAAGTCTGGAAGATTTATTCAACTTTTGTAGTAGGAAATTTTCCCTTAAGACTGTTCTCATGCTCGCTGATCAAATGGTAGGTTTGTTTATGCTCGTGGTTCTTTGTTTTACCTCCTCCTCTTATCATTTTATAGAACTTTGATATTCTTTACAGATGAATCGCATTGAATTTGTTCATTCTAAATCATTTCTTCATCGAGATATTAAGCCAGACAATTTCCTCATGGGTTTGGGTAGGCGTGCAAATCAGGTGGAATTCAGATCTTTTTTTGCTTGACTTTGTATCTGCATATTAAAGGACTTGATTTTGATGCCTTCTCACCTGCTTGAATATAGGTTTACATTATTGATTTTGGTCTTGCAAAGAAATACAGGGACACTTCAACTCATCAACATATCCCCTACAGGTTGGTTATTTTACACTCAGATTAACTGTTAGTACTTTAATGTCTTTAAGATTTGATATTTCTACCCCTTTTTAAGGGTGGGGTGAGCCTTTGCTACTTTAGCAGTGCTAAACTCACGGCTCTCATCTCGGCTGGCTTCTTATCTCTCCCTGTAATTGCTCATTATTCATTAAAATGTGATTGCTGGTTGATAAGTTCCTCCTATTATTTTCTGTTCCATTTATATGTCTTTTGCAAGTGAAGCATGCATGTTTTGCTGGTCGGCATAATCCCTCTGGTTTAAATGTAAAACTAGCTTTGTGAAGATGTAATAAATGATCTTTCCGGCCTTTTTGTCTAGAGATTTCAACCAATTTGATGTGTTTCACCAGTTACATGTTTTTTTTTTTTTTGATATTTTCATGCTGATGCTGATGTTGATGACAGAGAAAACAAGAATTTAACGGGAACAGCCAGATATGCTAGCATGAATACTCACCTTGGGATTGGTATGCTTGAGCCTATTTCTTCTATCTTCTCATGTTACCCTTATAATGAGACTGTCATATGGCTCCAGTCTTTTGCTTCTTTGCCTGTAGAAAAACTCACTATATTTTGCCTGTTATTGCCAGAGCAAAGCCGTAGAGATGATTTAGAATCACTTGGATACGTTTTGATGTACTTTCTCAGAGGAAGGTAAAACTCTTGCCAACTCTTTTCCTCATCCCATCCTCTACACCACCCCCTCCCCCAAGACTCCTCTCCAACGCTACCTATCTTCTTCTTTTTGTTTTCTTTTTTTTTTTTTCCATCATTTAAGTTTTCGCTTTTCTCTAGCCTACCCTGGCAGGGGTTGAAAGCTGGGACAAAGAAGCAGAAATACGAAAAAATCAGTGAAAAGAAAGTTTCAACTTCTATTGAGGTGATCACTAGCTTTTTAAGTTAATTTGATTCGTTGCTAATAGATATATATTTTCTCTAGAACTGTTTAATGAAGGAAGATAGTCTTCCGAAATTGAAACATGTTCCTCCTGTCTTCCCAGGCATTATGCCGGGGTTATCCTACAGAGTTCGCATCATACTTCCATTACTGTCGGTCGTTGCGATTTGACGACAAACCAGATTATGCTTATCTAAAGAGACTGTTCCGTGATCTCTTCATCCGTGAAGGTTCGAATTTAATTAGTTCATTTTTATCTGCGGTGAGGTCATGCTAAGTTGTTTCAGACAGGAGTTCTACCTCATGTTAGATTGTTCACCTTTTTTTGAGTTTTTTGCCAACAAATTGGAATTGAAAGTATTTTATTGCACTAGGCTTTCAGTTTGACTATGTCTTTGATTGGACCATTTTGAAGTATCAGCAATCTCAGATTGCCACTCCTCCTTCCCGTGCTCTGGTGAGAATCATATTCCATATTGAATTTTGCTGCCCTTGGATGGTCAGATTCATTGGGTTCTTATGCTACATTACATTCTTATGAACAGGGCAATGGAGCTGGTCCAAGTTCTGGCATACCTCCGGCTGTTAATAACACAGAGAGGCAATCAGGTGATCCTCCTTTCCTTCATGACACAACTCGCTCCATACCTGGCAGTTCAGAGCAGTCATTAGTACATTGCAAAAAATCTCTATTAATTTGATATTTCTTTTAACGTTTAATGAAGGTGGCGAAGATGGTAGACCTGCTGCATGGTCTCTGGGAGATCCATCTCGTCGGAGGCACTCTGGACCAATTGTGACTTCTGGAAGTTTATTGAAGCCAAAGAATCCAGTTGCAAATGATTCTGTCACATCTAAAGAAGCTCTGGTGAGTCGCTCATATAGTCAGCTAAGGAAATATGCCCAAAAATATCATTATGGTTGTTGGCTGTTTTTAGTGGTGGAATATGCCTTAATTGTGTTCCATATGTTTGATCATTGTCACTCGAAATGAATCTTTCTGAATCCAACTGTCCTGAATGATGCCACTTAGAATAATACCATGGTGAGCTTGGTGGGATCACATGATTGTGCCTTGTCAGGTTACAAGGCAAGTGGTTAGTTGCTGTGATAATCATGTCCTGTGTTCTACTTGCAGTTTGTAGTATTGGGATGCAGGAGGGGAAAAAAGCGATGCCATTTTATTTGTTTGGTTATCAAACTTATTTATGCAACTGATAAATTGCCTTCGAGTTCTACCAAACTATGCAGTGCCAGCATCTGCTTGGAGTTTTTTTTTTTTGGGTACTTTTCTCTGTTGAAAAATTCTGTAGGGAACATGTTGACATACTTTTACTTTGCCAGGTGGAAAAGAGCAGGTCTACCGTGATAATTGGTTTCTTAATCTTAGTGCATATTGTTTGGTCTCTGTTTCTAATGTGCATGATTTTATGGATGATTTGTTCTCTATGTTAATGAGTCATATGTTCGCTTAAATATATGCAGTTTTCTAGTTCCACTATCTTGCGGTCAATCAGTTCATCAAGGAAGCCTGCAGTTTCTGGCAGTCGGGATACTGGGATTCTCGGGACTGAGTTGGATGCCTCTCACCGTCGTACCACAGATGTGAGCCCAGCAGTCAATCATAAATTTTCCAGTGCCCAAAGAAATTCACCTGTTGGATCATCAGAGCAGAAGCAGGCTTCTAGTAGAAATGCCTCAAACATAAACAATTTTGAGTCCACCCTGAGAGGGATAGAGAGCTTGCATTTCAACAAGGAGAGGTTGCAGTATTAGCAACGTTGAAGCTCGATATCACCACCCGTTGTAAATCCGTTCATGGTATAATATTCGTGCACTGAGTTTGTGAAGTCTGTTTTATCCTGCTGGGGGGGTTCCAACTGTAGCTACACAATAAAGACCATGCTCTAAGTGAATCCCTTGATTAACCCAGCTTGGTCTGTAAGAGTTTCTACCATTCCAACTCAGTTGTATTACATGGTTTAACAGTTATTTTAACCTCTGCTTTGAATCATGGTTTGAGGAGTGTCGTAAAGTCCAGGTTGAAACCGTCTGTACACGTTCCTTCACATTATCGAGATGAAGAGCATGTCATGCTCTGTCAAGAAGCTGAATAGAATTTTATGACATTACTTTTGGAATTGCCTTTTATTTGTCTTTTCCTTGCTCATACTTTTACAGCAATCCTTTTGTCGTGCCTGCCCAATTGAACTTTTGCGTCTAATTGACGTTTCTTCTCCGGTAAAAGCTTGGATTTCAATTACGGGGGTGGCTGTATGCTTGATGATTTATTTTTGCATCATGGAGTAGTCTAATTGACATTTCTTCACTTGACCAGTGGAAGATAGGGTGTGATCTGAGGCCAAGTCGAAGTCGATGTACTGTCGAGCTTTACTCGACTTGCACATTCGGTGCTGGAAACTTGACTCTAGCTCGATTGTTTATTAATTGTCTTGCTCGAGCTCGATTCGACTACAAAATCGAGATACCCGAGCTCTACTGACAAGCTTGAGTTGGAGATCAAGTTTTATTAGGTCGATATTATGTAATTTTAAGTATTTTGACTATTTTTACAATTATGAAATATTTGTTAAAAAGGAATGAAAGCTCAATTCTCTCTCGAGTTTAGAGTCGAGTATCAACAAGCTCTAACTTGACTCAACAAGATACTTAAATAGTTCGAACTAGAGCTCGATGAAATGAGGCAAGCTGATTTCAAGTAGTCATCGAGCCAATCCAAAGTTACTTATAAGTAGCTTGATTCGTTTTAATCTTAGCGAAAGAGAAATCTTAAAATGTGATCTCTACAAATATACGATCATAATTACGATTATAATAGTGTGCAAATTTTAAGTTAATCTTAATATGCAGGCTAGGTCCCCTATCCATCTCTGGCTCCTAAGCTCTAATAGGGACGATGTTCTTGGGTGAGTATTTGCCAATGAACGAAAACAATGGTAAATCACTTTTACTCAAATGTTGGTTTTTGTATATTCTCAATCATTTAGTTTTCAGTTTCTTAGTTTATTTATGTGATCATGGGAGAATTTTCGAGTGTGATGCCATATTTATATAAAGAGGGGTTTACAAAATTGGTTTACCAAGTGATGCGACAGACCGCAAGTGGATATTTAATTAAGTGGGTCACAGTCGCCATTCAATAATAGCTTGTGATATTTTAAACTAGTGAAAGTAAACTTGGCATGCTAAAAAAAACACATTTGTCTTGGCACTCCAAGAAATACAGAAAACATGGGGTGTAGTTGGTGGGAGCTTGAGTGAGTTCTGAAGGAACATGATAAACTTCTTCAGCTTTATCTTGCCTTGAACACCATTGATATGTCTTATATGCACTTTGTTCCGTGTCCTCACCAGTCGCCTCTTAATTTAACATTCATCTTTCCTTACCTTTTCAACCCTAGATACATTGCATGTTAGTTTCCCAAAAAAAGAAAAAATCGGCAGGAAAGACAAAATTTTGAGTAGTTTCCCTTCCTCAGACCTAGGATATCACACAATGTGACAACGAAGCAACCTCATGGATCATCTACATGTTCTACATGAAGCCTCCTCACGTTTTCCGAAGCACACTTCTTTAAAACGGTCCACATTGCCTTTGACAACATTTGCAGAAATTGAGGTCTCGAATTCGCTGCCAGGGTTGGCCCCAAAAAACAAAATTAGCACCGCAAGGGACTCTGCAAATCACCCCTTTCCCCTCTTGTGACAGAGATAATTACCCTTTTGCCTATTCTCCATTTGCTTCAATCTTAATCCAGATTCTTTAAATTGCAGCTAATGAAATTACAATAATCAAATAATAGGTTAGCCATTGAACCAGAAGTTAAGTTAGGAACATCATATAATGGCATAGATGGAGAAAGGAATCACAGGAAAGATGCTTCCTAAAAGTCCTTTTCATCGTTAGTCATCCAAAGATCAACTATAGAAAGAAAGTTTCAAATACAGTCCTTTTCATCGTGTTTCAGAGACTTTTCCATTTTTTTTCCTTCCGTGCCAGAAGCCAGCGGTGTAGATTGGTCAATTAATTACTGAACTTGCAAAAGCACAGAATTACCATCATCTCTCAAGTTAGATCAACACCTTGACTATACAGATCTGATGAAACTAGATTGAGCCAGGCAACAAGTGGTCTATGACCACCAAAAAGATTTACTCTCTTTTTTTCCCCTCTCAGAAAACAGAGACAACAAAGACACAGCTCCACATCAATGTGCTACATTAAGTATTTGATTTATTTTTAAGAGGAATTTGGAGATTTGGCATTTGCGAATTCCTCCACACCTTTAGCCTGAAGTAAAACACAAAACAAAGGAAGGAAAAAAAGAAGAAGAAACGCCCTTTTTTTTCTATCATCATCATCATCATCATCATCATCATCACCACCATCCATAGACAACTTGGTTACACGTGTTCTTGATCCACCTGAAGCTCTTCTTGAGGGACCCTTTCATCTTGCCCTCCACAGTGTAGGCCTTGTAGCTAGCGACCCTCTTCTTCCTCTGGAGCTCAGGGTCGCCGAAGGTCCAACTCTTTGACGATGCAGATCCGACCCTACTCTTGCTCTTCTTCATCTTCACCTCCTTGCCGGGCATGAGCGTTGGCGGGTTTGAGGTGGAAGAAGAAGAAGAGCCTGCATAATTGGCACTGTAACTCCTCAGATCAAGCATGCTTGTTGGGGCAGGCCTCCCTCCATAGTAGCTCTCCATCTGCATTCTTCCATCTCTGCATGACTTGGATCTGTATTCTTCCATTGATCACAACACAAACCCAAGAAGAAAGAAGAAGAAGGAGAAGAACCCACGGTGCGAAAAGTGTGAATAATGGAGTTGGTCTGGAGAGAGAGAGAGAGAGAGAGAGAGAGAGAAGACTAACTAAAGAGAGAGAGTTCTTGGGTTCTTTTCCATTTTTCTTTGGTGATGATACAAGTAGAATTTATTGCCCTTTGATATTTCCCTATACCAATTTTCATGGGTTATCGTAGAGTATTGGGAACTGCTCAATATGAGTAGATGACGTACTGTGGTACTTAACTTTTTTTTAGCGTTGGGCATTTAAAGACACTTCAGGTGGGCAATGGAATGCCGTGTATTATAAATTGCATGAGCTTCAGTGACTTGCTGATTAACTAACTAGTGGGAACGAAGAAAAAATCGCAAAGAAGCAAGAAAAACAAAAAGGAAAAGAAAAACGAGAAGCTGCATTTGGTTGGCCGCTATGTTTGAATGGGCATGGAGGGCCCAATGACCAGCTTTGAGATAATTAAAGCCAGCTTTGACCGCTTACTCAGATCTGAAAACGACTGAGCGTGGAGAAAAAAAGAAAGGTTTCTTTGCTAATTCTTTATTCGGTTAGCGAAGACGAGATGATTGGGCTCAGTTGATTTCGCCGACGACGGATCGAGGCTGTCGCGAATGGCTAGCGATCGCATGCGGATGATCGACTTCCTTCAGACCGATCACGAGCTAAATCAGATGGACAGGGTTGCGGAGATATTTTTTGGTAGCTTGTGGTTGTGAGCGACTGGTGTGTCTTTGGTAGAATTTTGTTCGTTCAGGACTCGGGTTGAATAAGCCTTCAATCGCCTTGATAATGACAAATGGGTGGGTCCGAAAAGCATAAAAGAAAGGCATGGTAGTTGAGCTGAAAGGCTCCTGTGGATTTGAACATCATGGTGATGATGAGTACTGTCAGCTGAATCATCAAAATCCTCTCATCAAGAGAGCTAAGCCTAAAAGAATCATCTGGCAAAAGAAGAAGAGAATAGACAACTCCATCATAAGGATAAGATCAAGACCTAGCAATTGAAAACGATCCCATGCGTCTCAATTCTCTGAATTAGGGAATCAATACGACCTTCCGCGAATCACGATGCGTCAACGAACGATAACTAGGGTTATCACAAGGTGTAAACGACCCTGACTAGTGAATTTCTAAGTTTGATCTTCGTACCATCTCTTTTGCATTTGCCATCACTTGAGAAAGAACATCATCTTACAATAGGTATCAGCGCCTAATCATCGAGGACATGTCATTGTCCTTCGAAATAATCACGACACATTTCGCTTAGACAAAACTCTATAATCAATTGCTTGCTGATTTTATTCGCTGATAATCATGACTTATTTCAAACTTTAGAGAGGACACGATGCAGATTCGCTCGACTAGATCAAGTGGGGAACCCTTTGGTTGACTTAATCTGATTCCTTTCTAAGAGAGGAAAAGACGTGATACAAATCCAAATCAAAACTAATGATGATGATACAGCAGTCAGAAACCTGAACGACACTTGGATTTTTCTGTGAGACATTAAGAACAAGAAATTGGTCTAGCTGTGCACAACCGCATGAAGCCGAAAATCACTAAATCATAAGGTATCTTATACGGTAATGAACAAGTTGCCTTCAGACGACAGAATGCAACAATCAAAATAGCAAGCATTGCCAGAGAAAAGAAAAGAGAGAAAGGACCAGGCCATGCCACATTGCCACTATCACATGCAACTTCAAAAAGTAACGCGGTCACCAGAATGAAAAGACCATGCTTAGACCAACTAATGATTTTGTCCATAATCTTGAACGACAAACATAATACAAAACCCTCCCCACAACAAAACTTGAAGCAGTATTGCAATTGCACCATAACCATTATGATTTAATCGTCAGATCCGTTCGGATATCAATAACTTAAGAAACTACTTTTTGAGGAACCAAAACAGAATACTGTCGATACCTCGAGAATAAGAAAAAGCCCTCTGCCTCGACCAGTGACAAAAACTCATCAAAGAAGATCAGCAACATTGGATGGTAGCTCCTCGATCACCACATTGTAAAATTTCTGAATATCAAATAGCATTCTCTCATCATCTTTGGTCACAAAATTAATTGCCACACCCTTTCTTCCAAAACGGCCACTTCGTCCTATACGATGGAGGTAATTTTCCGGTTGAGTCGGCAAATCATAGTTTATAACAAGCGAGACCTGCTGCACATCAATACCACGAGCCAGGAGGTCAGTGGTGATAAGAACCCTAGAAGATCCAGACCGGAATTCACGCATAATAATATCCCTGGTGTTCTGGTCCATGTCACCATGAGTTGCAGAGACTGTATGGTCTCGGCTTCGCATCTTATCAGTAAGCCAGTCAACCTTCCGCCTCGTGTTCACAAAGATAACACTTTGGGTGATGGCCAAGGTTTCATAGAGATCACACAGAGTTTCAAGCTTCCATTCTTCTTTGTCAACATTGACATGGAACTGCTTGATACCCTCGAGGGTGAGCTCATCACGCTTAACCAAAATCCTAACAGGTTTATTCATAAACTTCCTTGTGATCTCGAGAGCTTCTGGCGGCATAGTAGCCGAGAACACTCCGACCTGTATCTTAGATGGCAGGAGCTGGAAAATGTCATAGATCTGAAAATGAGAACAATACCATCAGTCAACAATGTCTTTGAAGTAGGCTCATTAACATCAGGCGACAAACACCAACCAGTTAAAGTTTACAGGGACCCAATACTCACATGATGCAATAAGAACATCTAGAATTTAAGAGACATGGGATGCTTCAACAGATTTGACAAAAATGGAGAAAAAGGCCACTGTGTTCATACCTAGCAACAAGAGACGTCTCAAATACACCAGCCTTCTTTGTGGCCTTGTGGTTGGGCTTCAGCAACCCAACCTCAAGGTCACTGGAACAAAGGCATGGGTTTGTGTGTGTATGAGAGAGAGAGAGAGAGAGAGAGAGAGAGAACAGAGGTAAATCAACCAGGTCATAAATACATTTTCAGAACATACTTCTGCCCCAAAATTATATGAATGACGCATCTATAGCATCAATGACCGAGTGATCTATTATTGTCAGATTGAAAATTTTCTTTCTTGCATAATATCAATATGACATCTACAATATCCAATGCAAAATGCTCTCATCTTTTTTCCACAGGTAACTCAACCTGGACACAAAATTCGGGAAAAACTCAGTTTCATTGCATTTTGTTCAAGCTTTAAAATAAATATTATAAATCAGCAAAGAAAACTGAGTCGAGGAAGGAAAGAAACCTGATCCTTGAAACCTCGTGAAAGCATCTCGTCAGCCTCATCCAACACAAACATTTTGATGTAGTCCGGACGCAAGGATTGCCTTCGCAACATGTCAAAAACACGACCAGGGGTGCCAACAACAACATGAACACCACTTTGAAGAATGCGTTGATCTTCGCGAACGCTTGTTCCACCCACACAAGCATGAACCTTCACACCGAGATAATCACCAAGGGCCCGCATAACCTTTTCAATTTGTTGTGCCAGTTCCCTGGTTGGTGCCAAGACCAAGGCCTGGCACTGGACTAGACCATAGTCAAGTTGCTGCAGGATTCCCGAGCAGAAAGTTGCTGTCTTCCCAGTTCCAGATTGAGCCTGCTGAATCACATCAAGACCCTTGCAGAAAGGAACAATTCCTCTTTGCTGGATTGCAGAAGGCTTCTCAAAACCTTCAAATTACATTAAGTAGCATTTACTACAACTTTCAATTGATGATGTCTAACTAGAAAGCAAGTAGGTTGCCACCCTATTTTGACTACATTGTAAAATTTAGGCGCTTGAATGATCACAAAACCTAGGCCACTGGATATATGTATGTGTTTGTATGTAAGTATGTTTTCAATCGATAGATAAGCATTCAGGTAATATTGCAACTTGCGATGTCCCCAACTATAACAGTTCTCCAGTTAAACAATCTCTTTAATCAGCAGTACCATATATGAGGCAAACAGTAAACTAGGAAAAAAGATCCTGGAAGGTACCATAAGCATAAATGCCTCTCAAAAGGTTTTCCTGCAAACCCATTGCATCAAAACTATCATAAACTTCATCATACGAGGTGAAGAAATCTCCTCCATCACCAGACCTACAATCCATCAAGAAATTATAGTGTTATCTCCTTTGAGCCAGGAATGACAAATTTTGGTACAGATTCAACAAAGATATAATAACAGAGCTACAAAATAGAAGTAAGCTACTTACAATTCACTCATCTTTGCGTCATACTGACGTGGATCAAATTGCGAACCTTCTGGTGCCAGTCCTGCCATACTGGATGGAAAGTGAAGTATGTTCAGTATCAAGATATCAATTGCGTGTGAGTGCGTGCGTGCGTGTGTGGGTGAGAGAGAGAGAAAGAGAGAGAATTCTATCTCCACAAGAGACATTGTTTCCAATGCAGAAAAATGTTACAGAAAAGCCAAACTTGCAGGCCACTAGGACAGGACTACAAGCATTAAATTCCGTTTCAATTTCTGAAGAAGAACTATAAAGGGCAGCTGGCTATCTGATATAACAGGAAAGACTCCTTGAGCACCAGAAACCACAGTGCCCACTTCTCCAGAGTTACAGAAGACACCGGAAGTTTAGCTAAGAAAGGATATAATTAAAAGTACACACTGTAAAGCCTCTCGTATGAACATCAAGAAGGAGGAGGGAAAAACAAAGAAGCGGGTCTTTGCAAAGCAAACAGCTCGACACGGCCAACACGGTTTCATGAAAGTATTCTCCAACCAACACTAGCTTCACATCGACGAGCACAGCAGCAGCAGCGAACACACCACACAAAAACAACTATTGGCTGTCGAAGAAAAACTTCAACTCCACATCAACGAGAACACCATCAGTGAACATACCCACAAGAAAAACTTCAAGATATAACGACCGAAGAAGAAAAAACAAACAAACTTTTTTCCGAATCGGGCTGCATTCGCAGCACCAAAAACCGACATCAAGCTACAACCGCAGAAGTTCATGCACACGGAAGATCCGAAACTTCCAGCGAACAGGGCTATCAATCTCCTTCCGACGAACCATCTCACAGCTACAGAGAACACAGAAGCAGGAGCCACCAAAACGACCGCAAACAAAAGGGAAAAGGGACCGCGGAAACAAGCGCGCGAGAGAGCAGGAGCCGCCGGCAGCCTCCAGATCCCGACACGGAGCCCGGGCAAGATAATCAGCAAATCAACCAAACAACAGACCCCCCAAAGAAGAAGAAGAAGAAGAAGAAGAAGAAGAAGAAAAGCCCATCGAGCAAGCAGAGGAATCCAACATTCGCAGCACTTTCGGCCATCAAATCAAAATCCCGGACACTCCATAAAAGCCGAGAGAGAGAGATATAGAGAGAGGGAGAGAGAGGGAGAGAGAGGGAGACGAGGGATGCAAATCACCTGGTGGTTGAAGACGAAGTCGAGATCGAGGGAGAGAGAGGAGGAGGAGGCGAAGAAGAAGAAGAAGGAAGAAGGTGGTGTTTAGGGTTTGCCCAAACTCCTCGGATCTGCGCCGCGGAGTTCGAAAGATAAAAAGGTGGGAGAGGCAAACGGCGTTCCCTTATTTATACTCCCCCCGCAAACGGAAGCCCCCCCCCCCCCGCCGCCCGGCCAGCCTCTCTCCTCTCGGTGGCCTTCTTAGGTTTTCGCTGGGCCATACTCTCTCTCTCTCTCTCTCATCCCCCCAAAGGGCTAATTTCCCATCTTGCCCTTTCACATGATCAGGTAAATATTTTTTTTTTTGTCTCTCTCTCATTCAGAATTGGGAAAAAACCCCAAATTTTGTCACTTGTGACACATTTACCCCAAACTTTTTTTTGTGACACCAAAAACCCCGAACTTTACTTTTTGTGACACATTTACCCCGATGTATTTAGTCCATTGGCATTTTCGTCTTTTTTGCTTTTTTTTTTTTCTTTTCTTTTCCTTTCCGGCGAGGGGGGCCCTCACCGGCATCGAGCGAGGGCGGCCCTCGCCGGCGTTGGGCGAGGTTCGCCCTCGCCTGGGCGAGCGAGGGCGGCCCTCGCCGACGTCGGACAAGGGTCGACCTCGCCCGGGCGAGCGAGGCGGCCCTCGCCCGGCACGAGCGAGGTCGACCCTCGCCGGCGTCGGGCGGCCCTCGCCCGACTCGGGCGAGGGCGAACCTTGCTCGCGCCGGCGAGGGCCGCCCTCGCTCGGCGCCGGCGAGGGCCGCCCTCGCTCGACGCCGGCGAGGGCCGCCCTCGCTCGACGCCGGCGAGGGCCGCCCTCGCCGGCGAGGGCCCCCCTCGCCCGACGCCAGTGAGGCCCCCCTCGCCAAAAAGGAAAAAAAAAGAAAAAGACGAAAATGCCCATGGACTAAATACATTGGGGTAAATGTGTCACAAAAAGCAAAGTTCGGAATTTTTGGTGTCACAAAAAAAAGTTTGGGGTAAATGTGTCACAAATGGCAAAGTTTGGGGTTTTTGGTGGTTTTTTCCCTTCAGAATTTTCTCGGCTTTATTTTCTTTTTGGGCACAAAAAACCTCAAACGAATACGCTTATAATAAATTTACCCCCCGAGCTCGTTTTTTTTTATTACCAAAAATCCCAAACCGGTACATACGTGACAAATTTACCCCCCGTTAATTTCCGTTAAATTTTACTGTCAAATTGCTCAGTTAAATGACACATGACAGTTGACAAATGTATCGGTCTGGGGTTTTATCCCATGTTTGTCTCGGATGTACTAGTCTGTGATTTTTTTTTTTTATTAATTCGATTTAACACCGGATAAATTTATCACGGGTGTACCGATTTTGGGTTTTTCGTGATTAAAAAATTAATTTTTGGTAAATTTATCACAGATATTTTAGTTTAGGGTTTTCATAATATTAACCCTTTCTTTTTTATGGCGAAGTAAAAGTAAACCATCTCGACCTTTTCATATAGCTAGCTTTCAATCCCGTGATTTTCGCATGGGTTAATGTGTACCCCTGGCTTTTGTATGCATAGTTAGCCTTAATATTCGTCATGGGATTAACGACCCTTCTCGTGCCGGTTGAAAATAGAACTCCGAGTTAAAATTATTTGAGGAAACAAGCGAGCCTTTGATATCTTTCGGAAATCGTTCGGATTCCGCCGCGATTTCCTTAATGAATTTTCTATAACGAAGATGCTTTTTGCTTTCGTCTCAAAAAAAAAAAAAAAGGGAAAAATAAAATTCATTGTCAAGAATGAACAAAGAACCGAAATATTAGAAAGAAAAAAAAAAGGAAAAATGATATAAATGATTCTCGAACTTTGACTCGATATACAATGCGGTCCCTAAACTTTTAATTTATCCAATGTGGTCCCTAAACTTTCGGTACGCATTCAAACTAGTCCCTGTACTATATGAAAATTTTTAATGAGAAAAACATCGAACATTTTCATATAGATCGAGAAACATATACTAAAAGTTCAGGGACAATATTGAACAAAATAAAAGTTCAGATACTGCATCAAATAATGGGCTAAAGTTTAAGGACCACATTACATATCGAGTCAAAGTTCAAGGACCACATTATATATCGAGCCAAAATTCATGGACCGTTTGTATCACTATCCCGAAAGGAAAAGAAAAAGAAAAGGAAAGAAGGAAAAGGAAAGCTCTTGCTGTATAAAAGAAGAGTCCCACGGCGCCGCTGGAGTTTCGATCCCTTGACCTGTCCCCCCCTCCCTTTCCTTCCTTCCTTCCTTCCTCCCGTCGCCTGTTCGCCTTCCCCCTTCAATCCCCCCCCACCCTTCCCGCCAAAATCACGCCTCCCCAACGGTCGTCATCATCATCATCGTCCACCATGGACTCGATCGTGTCGTCGGCCATCGGAGAAATCTGCAGGCGCGGCAAGAGCGGCATCGCCCTCGCCTCCCTCTGGGACGAGCTCGGGCAGTCCCTCGCCTCCGCCGGCCTCGAGCTCGACCCGGGGCTCAAGAGCGCCCTGTGGCTCAATCTCCTGGACGTTCGGGAGCTCCAGTTCCGATGCCGGATGGGCGAGAAGGAGGCGTTCTGCGCTAGGGCCGATCTGTCGATCCGGCGGGTCAGCGCCGCGGAGGAGCTCGGTTTGAAGATCGTTGGCAGCGATGGTCTCAGAGACTGCTTCCTTGGCCTCTATGACCATCGGCTCGCGGACGCGGAGGTCCCCGAGTCTCAGCGGAAAGCTCTTGAGCTCCTCGCCCTCGCTAGGTTCGCTCTAATCCCATGTCTTTCCTTGCTTTAGATTGAGCACTTTGTAGGTACGATCTTCGTAGAGACGGTGGGAGGATAAATGCGCAAGCATCCGTCAAAGTTACATTGATGAGGCAGAGTAAAGTCTCGGCTGGACAGCGCAAAGTTCGGTTCTTTGTAATTTTTCCGGGTGAATTTTCATGGCCGAGCTCGATGAGATTGTTTGATGGATGACCTCGATCGCAGCTTCTCACTGCATAGTCACGGTCTAAAAAACTCGAAAATTGAGAAGTTCCGTGGTAGCAAGAAGGCCTCGTCTTGATTTAAAGATGGAATCATGTCGCTCGACTATCGATATTTCGCGTTCATAGCTAGGTTGTTTAAAGAACTTCATTAATCGGGTAGATAGTGAAAGCTGTGGATTTGAGATGATAACTCGCTGACCGTGTATTTCTGCAGAACGGACGGAATCGCGCAGAGCGAACTTTCTAAGGTGCTTGGAATCGAGGCTAACAACTTCGCCTATGAACTGAAATCCCTCGAGTCTCGAAATTTGATCACGAGGCAACCGGCGATCATCAGAACGGGACAAGCTCGCTGTCCAGGGGACACTTGCAAAGTGGTTTCTACGAACTTGGTATTTATGTCTCGATATTCGAAGCGCCTAGGGTCTCGACAGAAGTTCGAGGTTTCGAGACGAGATAAGAGATTGGATGTTCCCGCGAGTGTCGATGGGAACTCTACTGGCGAAGACGGTTTTGCTGGCGAAGGTGCTGAGGAGGCCGTGCTCGTAAAGGATTATCTACTTGCGATGAGATCGGTTTGCGATAGACTTGAAAAAGCTGATGGCAGGGTAAGTTAGCCAGGTTCACAAAGGTTTGAGTCTGCAGGGGAAGCTGCGTTATACTGGCGTTTGCACTGCCACATATTGATTTGGTTAGCCATTGTTTTCTTCTAGGTTCTTGCTGTAAAGGATATTAAGAAGGAACTTGGCTTTGTTGGATAATCTTCAGCGCACAAAGCCTGGACGACTGTAAGTTATCGACATTTCTACCGGCAGTTTCGCGCTCGGTTTGCCAACTCCCTCTTTAAACAGATTTTCCTCTAGTATATAATATTTCTTTTCCTGGATGATATTGGGTTCAGATTCGTCGGATGTTGGAAGATGCCGGCTTTGTGAAGGAACACGCTAGAGTCGGAAACGAGGCGAGTGTCAAAAGTATCGTGGCATGTGTTTTCCATTCACTTGTTAGAATTCAGCATATCTTAGATTCCACTTGTTCTCTTAACTTATGTGGCGACTGATGACTGTATTGTCATCACCTCAGAAGTATTTCACGTCTGGTCTTCTGAATGAAGTCCCCTGATTCTCGAATCAGTGTTTTCATTGTAAATCTCGAAATTTGAACATCATGTCAAATAAGAGATTAGAACAAGCAGAACAACAATGTTCAGACGTCATTCTTTTTGCTTGATCCTTTCCTTTTGAGCCTGTCAATTAGTTGAGAATTTTTAGCTTGCCAACACTAATGGGTGGAGAACTGGAAAACTTATCATCTAAATTACTTCAGACACAAACACCACGTACAGCATTAAATGTATCTTGATCAGTGGCTTGGGATCTTTCTGTTTGACAGGATAAAACTTGCTTGCAACTGGTGAAAAACTTTTATCCAAATGGCTTTGTATCTGGAGCCGAAGACATTGATAATGAGCAGCAAGTAACGTTTGGAAGGAATAGTCATCACAACGAGATCATCGTGGAGCTTCCTATACAGCAGCAAATATACCAGATGGTTGCTGATTCTGGATCTAAAGGTGTGACTTCAATGGAGGCAAGTTCATTCTACTAGTCTATTAGTCTGCAACAAGCCTATTACTTCACACGTATAAGTAATTTTCTTGCATATACCTCTCAAATCTATGGTCCGTAGAATTAAGTTCTTTCTTACTGTAGCAGAGTCTACAAACTTGTCTCGGAAGAACGATAAGTCCTAAAACTTTTAAATGGTGCAATTAAGTTGTAAAAACTTGCCCATTTAGAATCAAATACTTTTTTTGTTCTGTCCAATTTAAGTGACGGAAAATATTGATGTGGCGATTTCTAATATTTTTGGAGAACACGTGGTGCCCACTCTGTGCCACATTAGAAAAAGGACCAGTTTTTTTTTAAAAAATAAAAAAACAAAAAGGATAAGTGCACTGGAAATCCTAAAACTTGTCATCAAAGTGCAATTGAATTCTAAAACTTTCAAAAAGTTCAATCAAGTCCTAAAACTTGTCATGAAAATACAATCAAGTCCTAAAACTTGTCACAAAAGTGCAATCGAGTCCTAAAACTTTCAAAAAGTGTAATCAACGGAAGGACTTGATTGAACTTTTTGAAAGTTACATGACAGAATTGTATTTTTTTGACAAGTTTTAGAACTAAATTGCATTTTTTTTTAAAGTTTTAGGACTTTCAATGCACTTATCCCAAAACAAAAAAAGCTGAAAATAATTATATAAGAAAAACAAATCGGATGGGGGTGTTTGGCATGGGCTTCATCGTGCCAACCCCCCTGCCATGCCACCAACTTCTTTTTTTCTTTCTCAAACCTTTTGGTTTTTTGGACAAATTTTAGGATTGGGTTACACTATTTGAGTCAGTATATCCAAGTCAATTAATTTTACAGGATGCAAGTAATCTTTTTCAAAGCATACCAAGAAAGGAAGGTTCCCTATTAATTGAAGATGCACTCTACAAGACTTTCACTGATTACTCCAATTTATGAAGTCATTACAATTCTCTGTATTCACACTTCTTCGTAGTTGTTTGACGTGTAGTAGGTATCCATTTCACTCATATACAAATAAGCACTATGGTTTTCAACTGATATAATTTCAATTTTAACCACTGCTTAGCTGATTGTCAAGATTGCATAATTGATACTTGGGCCGATATTATCAACCAAGCTAAACTTGGTATGAAAGTTATAGTTGAACATGATGCTCATAACTTCCTTTTGAACCTAGCTGCTGTCGAAGAGGCATTTATAAATCAATGAGACTTTTGTCTTTGTGTAGAGAGTTATATATGTGAAAGGAAAGGAGCACTAGCCAACAGTCTTGACAGAATAAGAAATTGGTTATTGCACCATGGTTTACTAGGACATCAATAGCCTTAGTAAGTTTGACTCGAAGAAAGATGAAACAAGGAGAGAATCATTTGGCCTCAGTTTTGGGTTATTCTAATTATTTTACTTATAAATAATACTTGATGCTGACCAATATTTCTTAATTTGATCCATGACATTTGTACACTTGCCTGCCATCCCCTGACCGTTTCACAGGTTCAAAAGAGGCTCGGACCTAGGCATTCGCGTTGGTTCTCAAAAAACTACTTTAGGTTTGGGATGGATAGGGAGAAAGTAGGGGTTGTTAGGGAGGAAGGAAGTTGTTCAAAAGCAGTTGCCTATCAATATCGGATCCTTGGTGATCTCAATCTTACGCAGTCGGTCAAACTTCCAAGTGAAAGCCGGTATCTCCCAGTACAGGCTGACAACCAAGCTTGTAATTTAGACTTTTCTGAAATAGGAGGAATGACCTTAAGTGATTCTTCAACTCCCCAAGGTAATGGTGCTGCTGAGGAGAGCGTCCTGTTTAACCCAGAAGAGTCGCATCTTCAGCAAATGAAGTGGATTCCTGACGAAGATAGTTATACTGGACATTCACAGACGGAAGCAAATGTTATTCAGGCAGCTGTGTCCTCACCAGTTACATCAAGACCTGACAAGTTATACCCATGTCCATCATTAACTACCAATGAAATTCGAAGACGACAGAAGATATTGGATCGACTTCAGGTACCTGGATAATTTATAGCTACTCTGGAGTTAGAAAATGCTGCTGAATTTACTACAAATTTCAGTGCTGAAGAGTTATGGCTTGCCTCTTTATTTTCTGCAGGATGAGAAGTTCATTTTGAAACGTGAGCTTTATGGTTGGCTTGTGAATCTTGAGAAGGAAAAGGGTATGACTATGTGCAGGAAAACCATGGACAAAATTCTAAAGAAACTTGAGCATCAAGGGCTCTGCAAATGTGTACATATGAATGATAGTCCTAGCTGTAGTCGTAGTGCCGAAGTGGTCTTGCATCCATCCGTATCCACTGAAAGTATCTCTGCAGAACTTAAAGAAAAAATCAGGTCCTTTAAACAGCCAAAACGAGTCCTGGTCAAGACTCTGGACCCCATGTGTCCAGATCCTCAAACTCCCAGAACAGAAGCCACACAAGCTTATGGGTCCACTCTTGGTAATATGGTCCGTGCAAAGTCAACCTTAAAGCAGGTTAGATTAAATAAGTGACAGAAGTGACTGGGATCCTATTTTTTAGGAGTAACTCAGGAATGAATTTTTTGAAGCATTCACCTCATTTATGTGTTCCATATTAACTTCTTTCTGTTTGTCATTTGGGACAACTGATATATGTTCTCATGACTACTTGTAGGCAATTCAAGTTTATTGTCGGGAGTTTGAAAAAGAGCACCATAAGTATCAAGGTGACATTCTTACTAATCAGGAGACTAGAGTAAAAGAAGCACATGCTTCAGCAACTCACATAAGAAAGAGATCTCAAGAAGCCATATCACGGGAGTGCACAGAACTTGATATAGCAAGACGTATGAGGAGACATAGTCCTGCCAGACAGCTCGATAGAGTTGAACAATTCGGGGAAGGAGAAGCTGTATCAATAGCTCCTTCCAGACCACAGGACAGTATTTCGCAGGCCTATGACAAAGCAGGGGATTTTCCACCAGATATTGAAGAGTCTGAACCTAAAAAAGGCAAAGTGTGTACTGCGTCCTTTAACAAGAATGCCTCTTCAGATATGAACCCCACATTTCGAAGAAGGTTTACATGGACAGATGAAGCTGATAGGTATTAAACATTTTACACAATCTGGATAAGTTAACTCCAAGCTGATAAGGGTTTTTACATAGGTCTATCTTGTCAACTCCAAGCTACAATACTTCTGTTTATCTTTCTCCAAGGAAGATACACGGCTTTCTTTTATGCTATGCATGATATCCATGATGTTTCGCTTACTGACCATTCCTATTTTTCTCAGGAAGTTGGTAGTCCAGTACACAAGGATCCGTGCAGCAAAAGGTGCAAAGTTTCAACGCATAGATTGGAATCAACTCCCTGATCTTCCAGCACCCCCAAAATGCTGCAGAAGAAGAATTTCCTTGCTCAAAAAGAACTTAACGTTCAGAAAATGCTTGATGGGCCTCTGCAACTTGCTAAGCAAACGGTTTCTAAAGCACCTCGAAGAAAACCGGGATGCCTTGCATAACAATAACAGCAAACTTGTGATGAATGATTTATCCAAGAAAGGTCTTAACATAGGTTTATCTAGTAATTCTGAAAACGCCTCAGTGGTAGGTTCTCAGAATGGAGAATGGGACAACTTCGATGACAAAACTATAAAGGCAGCACTTGAGAAGGTTCTCCAGTATAAGCACAGAGCCACATTGGAGGAACACCAGGATGAATGTATATACAATGAAGAAAATGTAATCAATGACTCTCCTATTAAATTACATCTATATGTTATAATGACATTGAGCTTCTCTGAAATTCGAGTGCTTCTGCAGGATTCCCTGCCCTCTGATTTGGTCCTTTCTGACAACTGCATTGAAGATGTTAATCACCATATTTTGGGACAGTATAAAGATTCTGTAGACCAATCAAACTCCTGTCATCTTCATAAGAAGCATACCAAGCTGTCGAATAATAGGAGGAAGGTCAATAGAAAAGTCCATAGATCCGTGGCTGTTTCTAATGCTGTGGAGCTACTTAAACTTGTCCTGTTAAGCCCCTCGAGAGAAGACGACGTGCTCAATCAGAGTGCAGAACTCCTACGTCAATTTTCAAATGATGAGCTCTTTGCAGCGTTTAGTTACCTGAGTGAGAAGAAATTCATGGTAATTGACCTCTTCCTTTTCTCCATACTCCGTTAAATGGTATGCCTGGTATGTAGATGAAACCGCAGCTAAAGATTGCACGCGAAGCTGTTTCTCATAGTTGGAATGAACTATTTATGCATGCCTACGCTAAAAGGATTCTGAATCTTTCTATGTTTCAGCCCATATTCCTTCTAATGGTATTGTTATCTGCGCACTGTGCTAACGGTAATTTCACTTTAAGACTGTTGGTGGTCCCCTTTTTCAGCAAATTAGGTGAGCTGCTTATGTCTTCCAAGAACATGCCTTCGATTGTACTTTTCACTCCATTATACTTACCAGAAATGGATTCTTGACCAATGATATATTTCAAGTAGAACATCTACACACAACTTCACCTGATTGCTTGATTGTATGTACTCACCTTTCCCCTAGAAGAATTCCTCTTTTGGTGCTTGTTTAGAGGTAGATGGATCATGGAACCTTCCAATCGTACTGTCGACCTGATGAAATGGGCACATCAAGCCTAACATTTTACCCAAGCCCACTCACTACAGAAAAATTACATAGAAAAAGCCCGCCTACTTTACCTTCAAGCCTCACAGACTTGGGTAGGCTGCCCGACCCTTGATCAGTCTGAGCACCGACCTACAGCCACCAGACAAATTTTTATTTACTTGGCGTCTTTTGACATGTCAAGTTTCCCTCGGATCTGCTTCAGTAGCTGTCCTTTATATTTTCTTGCTATTACCCTTCTTTGTTTGCATCTGTACACACATTTATGAACTAATTTTTTTTATTTCTTTTGGGAGATTTTGCGTGATGGAGATCAACCTTTACTTTCTCGCACGTTCTTGGAGAATATTTCAAAGTCACAGTTCCCCCCTGGTACTGGACAGCAAGCAGCTGAATTTTCCAGATGGCTTCGGGAAAGACAAAAGGATCTTATCCAAGGGCAAGTTTTTCTTGACTGTGAGTTACAATGCGGAGAGCTCTTCCATTTGTTTGGTTTAGTTTCTTCAGGAAAATTCAATATTTCACTAAGCATGCCTGAAGAAGGTGTTGGAGAGGCAGAAGACTTCAGAAGCTTGAAACGTAAGCCTGCTGGTGATGAATTTCCGGACTATGGAAAGGCTAAAAGACCAAAATCTATAGCAACAGATGTTCTCGAAAACCGACGAGAGAAGGGTTTTCCAGGGATTAGGGTTCTGGTGGAACCTGCATCCATTTCAGGAGCTAATGTCCTGGTATTGCTTGAGGATGGAGATCTCTTAGCTGCTGAAACTTGCTTGCCTCAGGAAACAAATAAGAAGGCTGTTACAGATCAGTTCAATAATATTTGGTTTCCTCCTGAATGTGACCATAAGGTAGTTCAAGAACTTGACAATGTAGTCCCCATAACCAGGAAAAGTGATGAGTCATCTTGGGATGCTATGATGCAGTATGCCGGATATTTGATGTGGACACCCTCTGATGGTAAGCAAGTAACTTACCTCAAACCTGACATATTTAGGGCGGTCTATAGTTCCCTTAAAAGGGCTGGCGAGCAAGGTTTAACCGCCAAAGAAGTCTCACATATGATAGAGATGCCTGGTGGGTTGCTAATCGTTCATTCAACTTATCTCCAGTTAAAATGAAGTAGGAAACTTAATCCACTGTTTTAATATGTTCTGTGTAATGTTTCAGGTGAGGCAATGCCTGAAATTCTCATGGACGTATTTCGAGCATTTGGATTGGCAATAAAGGTCGGTTGTGCTTATGATTTCTCATTACCTGTTAATTCACCAAGTTTTCTGAATTTAAGATTTGACGTGGGTCTCTCCGTTTAAAGCTAATTGAGAGAGAGACAGAGAGAACGCCAAGGGGGACAAATATATTCACTTCTAGACAAGGAGCCTGAGGAGTTGTATAATCAGAGATGATAAGTAGCCATGACTTTCCTAGCTGTTATAAATTCTAAGTTTAAGGGGTCATAACAGTTTCATAGCTTCATAAAGGACTGCATCTAGCTCAGAAGTCAAAAATCTGATATCCAGAACTGGAATCTTTTATTGAACATTATATGTCGAACTTCCATTTTCAATGATCTTTACAGGTCAACGGATACAACTCAACTCGTCTAGTTGATGCTTTATATTGCTCCAAGTACTCTTTGCCCTCAAGGGCAGTTTCCGGTGGGGACTGTAGAGATCATTCCTGGATGAAGCCTCGGGAGAGGAGTGATGACTGCATGGCACCTCATCCTAAAGATAATAATTGTGATGTTGGTTGTCTCAATTTAGAGAGAGTAACACATCGCGATACTGATGGAATTCGCATGACAACTGTTACCGACTGTCACAAAGATGTGGGTGTATCGACAAATACAGTCCCATCTAGCAGTGAGGATAGTTTGCTGGACAGTGCGGTCGTGCCAGTGGAAGATTCGAAGGAGGCTACAAGTATTAGCTTCTCTTGTGATGACACACATAAGCCAATCCTGCCATGGTTAAACATAGATGGGACTGTCAATGAGACAGTCTTCAATGGGCTAATACGCAATATCCTTGGTTTCGTGATGCAAAATCCAGGAACATTAGAGGTACTTTGTCTTCCATCTGCGCTTTTGCCAAGTAGATTTACTTCTCGTTATTTTCAAAACATAATTTTGCAAACATCCTTCGCAGCTTGACAAGTAGTGAAGAATTTACAATGTGTAAGCAATGCTAATTTTTCACATGAAGAAACTCACAATCTTATTAAAGCTGCTGACATTTGTATCCGCCCCTGGGGCAATCCCTATACTTCTGGCAGATTTCCTTGTGAAAAGAACTTGTAGATTCTGTCACAGCCAGGTCTATGCAATGGCCATTTAAACTGTGTTGCTGCTGTAGTTTTCTCATATCTTACACCTAATGTTTGAAGAAAAAATAAAACCCTCATGTCAACCAGTTTGATCATTCTTCCTCGTAGTATTGCAGTAGTTCATTGATATTTGTTGAAATAAATTTCTTTTTTCAGTAGTTTTTCAGTGGACTAAGGTAGATCATAAGCTTTTTCAAATTGCTTGCAAAATCAAACCAAGAAAAAAGAAATGCATGTCTGCTCACCATATTGCAATTGATTTGCCAGGGTAATATCATCCGTCACGTGGATATTCTCAACCCCCAGGTATGCTATTGATCTCACTTATTTGCGTCCTAAAACTTGTAGACTGAGTGCAACTCCAGTGCTAAAATAAAACCGCCATTCAGCGTCTTGGGCTAAGGACTTTCATATAGCAGACAAGAGGAAAACTTTTGCTGGTTTTTCTTTCTTTCGTTGTTTTTTTTTGTTTGTCTCGGGTAGAGAGTTACCAATTGTCTCCACTTATTGTCCCCCTCCTCTTTTGAGCATGGATTTTGAAAGAGTCTCAGATTGTGGCTTCATTCTTATACTTAGTGTCCCCCCACCTTTTCTTTGTGTCATGGACTACAAAGTACCATCTCAGATTGAGGCTTCATTTCCGTTAAATTTCTTTAAGATCTCTGTAGATAGATTTCATAGCTTCTGAAGGCAAATGTCTGTCCTACGAGCTTTGCTATGGCCGGTCATCTTCTGGCCAACAATATTTTTTCATGCTAAATTAAAAGATTCTCATCTTCCCGATCCTTTTGCTGCATTTAAATTGATCTTTCCAGTTGACGGCATCTAACGGATATGGTTGAAACCTCAGAGCTGCAGAAAGCTGTTGGATTTGATGATTCTGGATAAACACCTCATTGTGAGGAAAATGCATCAAGCTACATCTTGTGGCGGTGCCCCTCCCATGTTGTGGCCAATCCTCGGGAACAGGTTCCGAGATTCGAAGTCCATTGTCCGTGATCATTTTTTTGCCAATCCCATGAGTGCAGCCATCTTATAGGTACTTGTATGTTTACATTCTGTAGCGGAAACTATTGGGATTAAGTTTTCCGAAGAGTCTTCTGTATCCCGCTAAAATCTGCATTATTGGTATGTGGTTTAGGGAGAACCGAAACAGAAGCATTTTCACTGATCTAAGTCGTTGGTATTTATACTGGGTGCTGTGCCAACTTCAGGATATAGGGTGCCAACATGAGCGTGACAACCCCTAAAGGAAGAGGACAAGCTAATCTTGGATATTTCAGTGCCATCATCAACGCCAAAATTTCCGGTCATCAGAGCGGGACTCACCATCAGTAAACTATACATGTCTTCGTCAATCAAATATCCCATGCCAGAACTCAAAGCAAGGACCGCCGGATTGTGAAGTGCACGTTTTTAAAGATAAATTTTCGAATCCCACGTGTGACTTGTCTTATTCCCTGGACATATCCATTTTCTCCTCGTAAATTCGAAAAGTGATGTGCAAACTGTAACTTTTTTATATGTAACTTATCCTTTCATTTTTAAAGCATATATCCGTATTTAGTTCAGTGATTATAGCTCGTTAACATGTTCGCAATGCATAAGATACCGAGTCAATTGGACCAATTCTGTGTAGCAGTTGGTCGATATTCTCAATGACTGTGTCTGCCAATATCACATTTTCCTGGAGGATGAACGCAAGATTAGACGGGAGCATAATGGCAATGACGCTGCCAGCAAATATAGAAGCAGCAAAAGCGAATCCAAACCTGAATTCAAATCATTTCTGGAATTTTTCAAGCACAGATTTTAGTCAAGTGCAGAGTCTCCTTCTCTATCCTATGTACCCACATATCCAAAAGGTTGTCTTTTTGGAACATAATTTCCGGGATATAAAGTCCCTTCTCATCTTACTTGATTCTTTCGAAATTTCACTATATATAGAGAGAAGTTGGATTCGAGAAAGGAAGCATTTTTCGTCGTACCCATCTTCATTCAAAACTTGCACAGATCCACTATATACAGCATTATCGATAATGAGACATGAGTGCCTCTCTGTTTTGCGAACTGTTAACATGTCTCTTAGAAGGCTAAACCTTCCAACATATATGAGTAAGAGCATGATAGCTGAGTTCTGTTATCGAGCAGCTTCCTTGATTTTCAGCACTGCCTCTAGCTCATATAAACTGTACCCCATGGAAATGGAGCCTGTCAGTTTATTGGTGATAGATGAAGCTGCGCTGTTGAAAGAATGTGAGTCAATGATCCCGCAACAACTTTGCGGTGTCTGGTATGCAATTTTAGTTGGGGATGAATGTCAGTTGCCTGCTATGGTCAAGAGCAGAGTATTTCGCTGCTGAATGTTTGTCTAGCAACGTGCACGCGGATACATAAACACTGGATGATCTTATGCTTTATTGACCTCTAAGAATTTGTATGTTTTTATCTCTATAGCTTTCTAGCAAAGCTGGCTTTGGAGGGAGTTTATTAGAAAGGTTGAGTTCTCTGGGTAATCAGGGCACCTTTTCGAAATCCAGTACAGAATGCATCATGCGATGTCGCTTTCCATCATCAACCTTTATATGAAAATCAAATTCTGGTTGGGCCAAATGTCACCGGCATAAGTTGCGGAAAATGTCATTAGCAATGGCTGATGTTTGGCCCGTACTACTTCTTAAATATTCTTAATGGACGAGAAGGAGTTAGGAATCGTCTTGATGATTTTGAGGAATCTATTCTGAGGTACTCAATCAGAGAATTTTTCCAGATCATATCATTTCCTGCCAAAAAGTATAAATTAATGCAAGTAATGACATTATCTTTGTACGTGTTTGGTTATATATGTGGATGCATCTTTTGCTATACGATTGTGGAGCATGGGCGGGCAGTTGACTGCCGAAGCTGCAAAAAAATATTATTTCTGTTCAATCTGACCACGAACTCGAGTTAGTTTGTGGAGAAGTTTAGAGAGATTTCCATAGCTTTATACGCTTGTTGACATTGGAGTTGATGTACTTTGTTGTCATTCAGGTCATTAACTTAGGCTTACACGACACATAAGACAAGCACCGAAGACGACTCTTGCCGGTTTAGATAACAAGAAAAGGAGAAGGAAGCAAAAAGTTAATAAAAAAATCAGAAAATTTTAAAATAACTATAAAATTTTGTCCATGTAGGACGGACGACGTCCGCATCAACAATTTTTTGCCAAAATTGGCATTGCCAAAATTGGCTAGAAGTCGTCAAAAGGTTTAGATTTCAATTGGTAAAATTCTCTAACGAAAAAATTAGTACAATAAATTTAAATTATTTTGTAATTATCCCCAATATAATATCTTGTACGTATTTCTCCTTTCTTTTTTTTTTAAATTTCCTGCATAATTTCTTAAAGGACAAGGTTTACTATCATCCGGACATGCGGAGAGCATTCATGATATTGTATAACCCACGAGTTAAATTGCTGAGCATGAAAAAAAAAGTAATTCAACACCACAAATTACATCCAAAACCAAACAAAACCCCTCTCTCTCCAATGTGGGGTTCCTCCATCAAGGACGATGAATGGAGCCACGGATGGGGCTCAGTCGTCTAACGTACGATGTAGCGACTCTAAAAAATTCACACCGACTGTAAAAATGGGAAAACAAAAATTGAACATTTTATGCATCTGACTCCTCATCCCTCGTCATAACGGAAAACTATTCATTTTAATGAATTTGGAGTTGGACATTGATGTTGTAAATGAAAGGGTTGGTTGAGCGATCGAATTTGGAATATATATGTTCCACAAATAGTAAATGGGAACAGTGATTGCCATCCTGTGGGTAAACTCGAGGGGTGTATTTAAGCTAAAAGTTGGGGTAAATGTTGCAAACAGAAGGCCAGATTTCAAGGATGGATTATGTAATCTTATATTTGAATTCGCACGCTAGAGACTAGAAGAAACAAGAAGAGAAAAATTGGCGCAAAGGAATTGAAATCAAAATCGAGGAAAATGATGCAAGATTCGTCCTAAAGTCCCTACGAAGTCTTAAGACAGAAAACGAGCTGAAAAGAAAAGTAATGAGAAATTTTTACGTCTACCATTCATTTAATTGATGCGGAATTGGAATTTCAACGGTGAGGATGTTATGTATGTAATGCTGGCTTTGAATTCACAAGCTCACATTGGCCATGTCACCTCATCTCCTAGCAAAAAATCATTCGTTTTACGTCATTATAATGAAAGGGCAAAGTATTCAACGAAGTTATATGCCTTCTTGTGTGCGACCCTGCACACATGTCTCGAAAATACGACATGTGAAACTCAAATATGAAGCCCAATAAAGTGGGAATTCAAAAGCCAAGAAGACGAAGGTTTCCAACAATGACTATGTACCAACCAATTTGATGGCCGATCCTCTTACTAAGAGATCAACTTGGGAAGCGCAATCAAAAGCCTTGGAAGGAGCTGGGATTTGTACCGATCAGAGGTTACACTGCTTGTAGCCGACTATGTATCCCCTACTAGTTAGAGTTCAAAACAAATTTTTAGACTATTTGTGATCCATAGAAATGTTGAATCTGAGGTTACATGCGTTAACATTTCGGAGGCACATTACTATGGAACTGGTGGGGGTAATAAGGTTTCGGAGGAAAATTCAATCTCGAAATGTGCACTGTTTTGTTCGCAGAATGGTGAGATTGGCCTTAGTTATCCTTAATGAACCCACAACACAGGGGAGCGAAAACGGTGGTTGTGAACGCTCTTGATGAGATTCGCATTTGCGAGTGTGGAAGTTTGGTCGCTTCTTATGATGAAGGTTCTTCTCATGAATACGAATGAACAAATAGCTTTGGCAAGTTCTTGGGAATATTGAAGAACAAAGAAAAACCTTAAGTCCATAGTATGAAATAGGCTAATGGAGGAAATCAATCTTTCCATCCCGATCTTCTCCACACTCCATATGAATGCCGGCCACCGTCATCCACAATCATCAATCGCCGCCTCCGCCATTGCCATTGCCATTGCCGCCGCCATCCTCATTCTCTCCATAATCTTCAAATTCATCTCCCACACTTCCTGAAGTACCACCATCTGCTGAGTCCATCTTGTCTACCGGTTCCGCTTGAATACTGTATAGAGTCTCAGTGAATGCTACCCAGTCCATATTCGTAATACCTATAGGGTGATTGCAGAGACCACTATCATCCTGGGCAAATAGAGTAACTCTATAGCCTGGCCAAGATTTTTCAACATCAACTACATGGGGACTGGCATTTCTTCCTGTACATTGCACCCATGCCTTGTGCAGAGCTCTTGCGAGATCCTCATAGCTTGCCAACTCGAAAACACACACTTTGCCTACTTCGAAAATCTGTTTCCCTTGAGATGATGGGAAAGGTAAAGCAAGATATATCGAAACCCCTTCCTCCTCCTTACTCACCGCAGTCTCCATGTTCTCTTCATCTTCACTTGGGCCTCCATCCATCATTTCCGCACGAATGAAGCATAGTTCATACTTGAATTCTTCCCAAACCATGGCAGTACTTATGGGAACCTCCCAACCAAAAAGAGTGATTTTGTAACCAGGCCAAGAACTTCCAATATCCACCACGTTAGGACTAGGATACTTTCCCTTATACCTTGCCCACTCAAAGTGCAGGACATGTGCAAGATCCTCGTAGCTTCCCAGAGGGCGAAGGTCCGCTTCACCTACTGCCTCTTTTGCTTGATTATCCTCAATGAGATAAATCTTAACCAGATGATGGAACATGCGCACACAACTCGCAACTTTTCTGAATTCTTCCCATCTTAGCCCTTTTACTTCTATATCAAGGGGATTGCCATCTGCATCACAATAAAGTGTGTCGAAGTTTGGCCATGGCTTAACTATGTCCACTTCCGGTTGTGGTGTTCTACCTGTGAGCTTCACCCACTCAGCATGGACCGCCTCCACAAAAGGTCCATAACCCGAGAATTCACTGAGCTTTAAGGAAGCTATTTCATCTTCAATACTATTATTGAGGACATTAATGATTTTAAACACTCTTCCATTTCCATCACCGCCACCACCACCACCACCACCACCACCACCACCACCATCTTCTCCTTCTTCTGTGCCCATGTCTTGCTCCCTTTCTGGAACATCATTCAAGTCCATTTCTTTTTCCGTGTTGTCTGGTTCTTCAGTGTTTCCTGTATCGCCAGATTCCTCATCCCTATCATCCTCATTCTCACGATCATCTTCCTCCTCCCCGATCACTTTCATCTGCAGGGATGCGCTGCTGATTGAAGGGTCCAGAATCTTCAAGACGAAACTCGTCTGTCGAGATTTTTTCTGAGAAGGGTCTCTCTGACACAACATTATCCTCAGCGGTTTCCTTCCCGGATTGGAGTGAGTTGGACTTACCAGAGCCTTTAATGCTGTAGACAATAGGAGAAGCTTAAATAGGAAGCGGACTAATCATTTACAAGACTAAACAACACAAGGAGCTACCACACCCAGAAACATATATGCATTCATCTGAGTACAATGAGCATTTCGCGGCTGGCAACAATTTTCACTCATCAAATAACTCGTGGCCG